CTGGATCCCCTGCGCCGTGTGGCCTGTACCCTCCGGGCCCTTGGTCGCCGGCTTGCTTGCTCTTGAGACCGTGGCCGCCTTCGGCGGCCTTCTACCCTGGAGACCCCCAGCCTGCGAGAGTCAGCAGAGGCCAGGAGGCCCCGAGGGAACAGGCAGAGGGAGGCGCAAGGGGACGCTCGCGCCAAGTTTTGACGTCTTCCACCCTGAGAGTCTGCGAAAAGCAGCGCGGAAAAGAGCGCGCAAGCGCCACCACAGGGCCAGCCACAGGGGGGGCGCCGTGTGTCCCTGTGTCATGCATAGATATCGCATAGGTTCAGCATAGTATTTGTTTTAGGGTTGCACGGTGCTCCCCCCTGTGGTCGGGTCTGTTTTGGCGCGCGCGCGCGCTTTTCCGCGCTGATTTTCGCGGTTTCTAGTGGTGGAAGGCGTCAAAATTTGGCGCAGGCGGTCCCTTGCGCCTCTCTGCATGTTCCTCAGGGACCTCGTGGCCTCTGCTGACCCTCGCAGGCGGGAGGCCTCCGGGGTAAGAGGCCGCTGAAGGCGGCCACGGTCGCAAGATCCAGCAAGCCGATGACCAAAAGGGCCCGGAGGGTACAGGCCGCACGGCTCAGGGGGTCTTGTCCAGCCTCTCCCCTTTTGCTGCCTGCGATCGGGGGCCTTCCATAACGGGCGCACTTCTGCGGCGGCGAAGCATATCGGAGGCACTTAGGGCACTCACAGGCAGGCACCTGGAAGGGGGCGCAGGCTGTCCCCTGGGCCCCTTCTGAAGCCTCTCACCCAAATCGGAGATCTGTAAGGAACAGCCAAGCACTCGGGAAGGAAGCAGAGGCGGCCCCTTGGGCACCTCTTGCGGCCTTCCACCTACGTCGGAGGCCTCTAGGGGGCAGCCAAGCACCTGGAAGGGGGCGGGGGAGGTCACTGGGCCCCCTTTTCTTTTGAGGCCTTCCACCCCCGGCAGGCGCCTCCAAAAGGAGCCCGGGGCTACCGGTGCCCCTCCCTCCGCTAGGGGGGGCGCCGTATCCCTAAGCCTTGGAACATATATCTTGATCGGCATGTAGACCAATGAATCCCCCGAGGCCATGACATGACATGATAAAGATGCAGCTGGAGATGGATGTGGGCAAAATAAAGGTCTTCTAACGATTGTTATGATCGCTCATGTTCTCGCGTTATATACCCTGAGGGTTCTTCTAGAGCAACTTCTGGTGAGCTGGCCCCCATCTGGCCTTTTGGTATGCCTTTTCAACTTTCCGCAGTAAACAGTATCATCGCTGCTCAAGCTATACGAGCTAGTGCAATGGGTGACGGCTACGAATTTTTTGTTTACGTCGAGGTGGGCCCCAATCGGCAGAAAGTAGTTCACCGACGATCTGGGCCCCAATCTATGTGGCACGGGATCGGAGCAAAAGGAGCGGAATGGCAGCTCTATCCCGCTACGGCACGCGCATATAGCGCACAGGCCTTGCAGTGGAAAGGCACGACAGGATATAGACTCAGCCCCCAGAATTATCCTGAAGCTGAACAGTCAAATCTGCGCTTTTGTCCTCGTCAAATATTTTATAGCATACCAGACCCCTCGATGATCGAGGAAGAGCTGTCTCTTCTTCGGGGTGGGATTACGATTAGAAAAGTGAATAAACAGGCTGGTGAGGGTCCTGAAAAGCGTTGCATATACGAATGGCCACGTGGACAAAAACTTCAGAGCGACGACTTGACGGGACGGCCCGAATGGTATCGCGTGGCCGGGAAGCACAGCGACTACTTGCAGAAGGTTAAGTTAGGCAGGCAGCTTATAGAAGTGTCATAGTGTCGTGAACGTGATAGTTGTTGTAAGAGTACCAGCTAGTTTCTACCCTGAGACTTTTCTAGAACTTCTATGTACTGCGATTTCTTGTTAGGTAGTTATTGTTAATGTGCTGCGAACACATGACATTATACTAGTCATTTTTGAAAGGATGAAGATCCAAACAAGAAGTGTTTTGTTCACCTAGCACGTGAGCCTGAGCTCTAATGAAAAGTAGAGGAATGGAGAGCAGAGATTGTGGTAAAGAGGGAAATTGTGGGGATCTCGTGTCTCATGATTGGGTGGAGGTGGAGGACGCCGTAGGTGCGCAGATGTATGCTCACAACTTGAACATTTATACCGAATACCAAAAACGTGCATGGGGTGAAATTCAGTCGGGCATAGAGCAGCGCAGAGCACTCGGTGTGCTTCCTTATGGCTCGCAGCTGAGGTCAATGCTAGATGAAGGGCTCTCTCTTGCCAATGGTCGCGACAATAGTGCACTAGATCTGCTACCACCACCAGCCTCTGTCAGAAGGTCAGGAGCTGGTTATTCTGAAGAAGAAGCAGCAGCAGCTCATGCCTATGAGGACGAGGCTTCGAGAACGAAAAAACTAGAGTTTGAAGCTACCCCAAAGGCGGAACTGATGCAAGCGCTCAAAGAATATGCAAGGGAGGCGCAAAAGAAACAAGCTGCTGACGGAGACGGGCCTTCATCTGCGTCTCGTATTGACTTCGAGATTCCAGGCGAGGCAACGTCGGAGCAAGGGATAAGAACAAGCATGGACGAAGCCGATGGGCCGCCATCTTTGAAGAAGAAGAATCAGCAGTTGGGAGAGAATGATGAGGAGGATGACCATGTTGACATCCTTCGTTGGAATCTTTATTCCCCTGAGGATGGATTAGCGAACGAGCCTGACTTTCTAATCGAGGCTGCCTCCGTAGAGGAGCTGTCGACCGATGTAGCAGGACAGGACAGCGCATTCCGCTTTTCGGTAGCGCTCCAAGACTTCCCGGTGTTCCCCGACCGCGAACGAATGGAACACCTCCAATATCGTGCCCTGACGGAGTTTCTTTTCAGCGCCGTGTGGAAATTTCCTAGTCGTTTGGATGCCACTGTGCGAGCATTCCAGTCGGAAATTCTTGGACGTGAAATCTTACCAGAGCAACCGGGATACGCTTCTGTCGACAAGGACGATATTAGATGTTCGACTGGGGGCGGCCGTGGACGAGGTGACTATGAACCATTTCTGGTCTGGTGTCTGCAATGTAGAAGAGATTTGTTACACAGCACGGGCATATGCACTGACGAAGTAGTCGGGAAAATTTGGAGCACCCTTTTAAGATGTTGACTTCTTGAAGCATTAGTTGTACTTCTTCATGATGAGTATCTATGTGTAAGTATAAGTATTTTAACGGCGCTTGCGCCTGCTTTGACACCAAATTGATTTGATAAAGAAGAAGCGTGGATGGTGATGGTCGTGTCTAAGTAGAACTAGAAGTCTTGGGATTGAGTTCAACTAGTAGAACTTAGAGTCTTCTTCTAATTTCATCAATTAGGGCTCTTCTACTATGAGAACTTCTAACTCTTGAAAACTACCGACGCCTTGGACCAGATCCTAATGATGAGAGCCAAGGTGGAGGGCGGTGGCGGCGCGACCGCTATGCGAACCGGTATTCGAAGTGGGTAAGTACTCCTGGATGCAGCTTGCATCCCGGAAATCCAGGAGAATTTGTACGCGCGCTGCGACTGCAACCGGCCACAATGGCGAAAGAGAGCGACTGTGCAACTGCTGAAGTACTTCGGCCGGACAATGATATCTCAGGCATGCATATCAGCTGGTCAAGTCAGGAAGATGCCGCATTTTTGGCAGCTTACAAAAAAGTTGTTCCGTCCGCGTTTTACAAAGGAACGGATGTTGCTGCAGCTGCTGAAGTGCGTGCATTTGGCACCACACAACATGGGGTAGGAGGGCAGCCGCACGAGGAGACACCGACCACGCCCAGAGGAGGATATGAAGCTGCAGAACAAGTACCAGCACCAGAGGCAGCAGATGAATTTGAATACACGACGGAAGAGCAAGAACGGCTCCGAAGGATCGACTATTTTCTTGATTATCAGGGAGAAGCAATGGGCTCCCTTGTACTTCGTGTGGTTAGGAACTTTGCTGCACCAGTAATGGAACCTGAGCAGGCACGTGCGAAACTGGGAGAAGCGGTATTTAGCGAGTTACTTATCGAGCAGGATGGGGAAGCCGAAGCCGATCACGATGTTGTCGATGACGATGTGGGTGAATGGCCTGAGGATGAGCTCGCGGCCTCTCTTGAACGCAAACTGAAAATTGACGAAGAGCAAGAACAACAACATGATCGTTTATTGTATGATCAGTTGCCTCGTCGTCGTCCCGCTGCACCTGGCGAACGTCATCGAGGAGGTGAAACAGCACCACGAAGAACAAGTTCTACAGTAGAGGAACAGGAAGCCGCGAAGCGCAAAGGTTTGCGAAAGCGCATGATTGGGAGTGTATCTCCTTCGTCTACGTCGTTTGCACAAAAAAATCGTGCGTGGGCGGAAGCGAAAGGCCAATTTGCGTTTTACTTTATAGATCCGCTGTCTGATTTTTACTCCAAAAGCCGTAGGGGAGACTCGCGTCTTAGGGGCCTCTTTACGAACAAGGAGAACGACTTAGAAGTAAGAAGTGATGTGGGGGCAGGCTCATCTGGTCAAGAACGAAAAAAAGGTGCTGAGAAAAAGCATGAACAGCCTCCACCAGTAGGGGCATACCAATTCGAGGAAGGACCACCTTCCGTAGAGACCATGGACGAGGACGTAGAAATGGAGTCGCCTCCTGCTAGTCAAGCCGCGGAAGAAACGGCAAAAAAAGTGGCATCGTCGCCAGAAGAAGAGGATGGACTTTTGCAAGATGTGGAAATGAGCAAAGAAGAAGATGAGACTGGACGCGGACCACGAGCAACCACTTCTAGAGTGAGGAAGAGTCCAAGCCCCACTCGAATTTCTTCAGATGCTGTTGATGACCACTCAGAAGTCTCAGGAGTGAAGGACGAGGACCAGAAAGAAGATGATATCGATATGGATCATGTAGTGATGTGGTCGCAAGAAGACGAGACTAAAGCTTCTATCCGCCTTTTCTGGAAAGACGTGCAGTGGTCCATTCTCCGTCACGACCAATATGTTGCGATCGACGCGATATTAGAGAAGCTCTGTACCTATCTTCTTTTTTTAAGGATCGTTACCACGACATTGCGTTCTTCACTACCATTCTTCGCCTTTTTTCAAGTGGGGAAATGTTTAAGGTGGAGGATGAAGATCTGAAGAATGCAATGGCGCAACCCCTAACTTTTCGGCGGAAAGTCTACAGCTTTGAAGAGGGGCCCCCTGCTCAAGCTGCTCCACACGTTCGAGAACGCTTTCGAGGTTTTGCTTCCTTCCCGAACTTGGCGGGGAAGCGAACTGGTCCTACAACCGAGTCGCCCAGCGTAAGCGCTCGTGTCTCCAACTCCAGGCCGCCCGGGACCTCCCAAGGGATATCTTCCGGGTTCCTCCTACCTAAGGGGACCTCCCAAGGGATATCTTCCGGGACCTCCCAACGGATATCTTCCGGGACCTCCCAAGGGATATCTTCCGGGGTTGGTCCAGCACCAACACTGACGCAGCACGGTGTGCATGATTTCCTTTTTCAGTGGCCAGAGATGAAGCTCTTCGGTCTTAGAGTAGATTCTGACGTAACGCTTTTGAATCGTCGCGACCCGCGTGGGACAGAATACGCCTTCATTCCGCCGAAAGAGCGAGATGACCATGCTGGATCTGCTGGCACTGAGAAGAACAGGATCACGGCGACAAACGTCCGTCAGCACTTGTCAACACGAAAAGGCAAGGAGCTCAAAGAAGGAATTTGGTTCGACGGAACAGACACTTCTGAAGGACGAATTGCTGATAATAGTTGGTTCGTCGAGAGGACCGTGACCGCCGCAGAGAAGCAGGAGCAGACTGCTGCAAAAAAACAACCTCCACATCAAGATGATAGAACTCGGATGAAGTGTGAGTGTGAAGCTGAAGAGTGTTGTTCCACTAGAAACGTCACTCCTCTTGTGGTCACTACTGCTGGGACCTTGTACTCTGCAATTTCGTCACACTACAACTTATTTTATCGTCACGCGATCGATTTCTTGATCGATAAAGTAAGAGACGCAGCACGCAAAGACAGGGAAGCCGACATTTCAGTTGCGAATGAGCAGGTCCTAAGTTTGGAGAAAGCATACGTCGATGATCAGTTGTTGGCTCAGACTTCTTGTGCAACGTCGTCGAAGATAAAGATTTTCGCGACCCCTCCACATCTACATCACGACTACAGCTGCACGACTTGTTCTTACACGACAGCAACACTTACACACGACGGACGCTCGTCAGACTCAGCTGCAGGAGTACTAGGCTCATCTGTTTCTTTACCAGGTCCGTGGCCAGAAAGAACGGAGGACGCAACTTGTTTCAGGACGACGCTCATGGAGGACTTAGAAGCACTGAAGGAAGAGCTTAATCGGCAACTGGTTTTAGAAGAGCACGCAAGAAGAAAATCCATCCGAGTTGCGTTGTACATCATTTCGCAGCAGACTGGCGTACCAAGAAAGAAATTGGAGCAATATTATCAGCTGCGAGAGAGTCTTTTTGGGGACGGCATCGAGAATGAATACCACAAAACAATTCTTCGAAGCGCTTATTTCCGAGACCACATGGCTTTACGTTCTGAGTACACAGAAGGATCTGATCCAGGGTCGGCCGAACGAGCTAAAATAAGGAACACTTCTAAAGCACCAGTTGGCGGAGCCGATCAACATGGGCTTTGGAATACACGGCCACAAATTTTTGATAATATGGGAGCTTTAGTCTTGCGTGGAAATCACCGGTCGAACCCAAATCATGAGCCTTTTTTCGATGACCTGCTTGCTGGGAGACCTGGAACTTCTTCACCACCTCCAGCGCCAGGCGGTGGAGGCGGGAGTGGTAGCGGCGGTCGTGGCGGAGGCGGAGGAACTAGGAGCGGCGGTAGTGGTCGCGGAAATAGCAGCGGGGGCGCACCAGGTGGCACTAGTCGAGGAAGTAGTGGCGCTGCACCACATGGCACTAGTCGAGGAAGTAGCGGCGCACCAGGTGCTAGTGGAGGGAGTAGCGGCGGACGAGGTGCTAGTGGAGGGAGTAGCGGCACACCAGGTGCTAGTGGAGGGAGTAGCAGCACACCAGGTGGTGGTCGTGCAGTACAACAACATGAGATGAGTAGGACCAGGAAGAATATCGAGGAGCTGACGCTGGTAAAATTGTTAGCTGAAGACGAGACTCGGGCTCGTGAAACCTTCGGGAATGGTGAGCTTAAACATGGTCCGCGCTTTCAAATTTTCTTGGGGGAGGAGGAAGAAGTGCAGCTGTGGGGCTCCAGGAACACGTTTGGTACATCAAAGGAAGACCTGAAGAATGAAGCTCTACTAGCAGCACTCTTCAAAATTCTGGAGGGTCTCAAAATGACACTTCGCAAGTGGCTAAGAAGACAGAGAAGATTACGACAGTTACACTTCACTCCTCCTCAGATGATGGTGGCTTCCCGGAGGCACCACAGTTACAAAGAACTCGACTCATTTCATACAGGCACAGTGCTGCGTGGTCTCGCGCAAATCCATGAATCGAACGCCTTCGAACTTTGGCTCAACGAAATGCATCAAGTAGAAGAAGTGCGCCAGACAGGAGCGCAGCAGGGTGCAACAGTAGATGAGCAGGGCTTCAGTATTCGCCCTCCTCGTACTACTGAAGTGGGCGACGCTAATGCAGTGCCAGGAGGAGCTTCTGATGCAGCGAGCAAGCGTAGCGGACTCTACCAACACTGGCTCGAATTCGTTGCTGGAGATAACGAGAGAATGAAGCTCGAGGCAGCCTGGCGTCGCCGAGAGGGGATGGTTATTACTTTCGTTCGCGGCTTTGAATTTTTGGTCGACAGGTACGAGCGCTTCGTACGCATTTCACAGAGGAGGAATGGTTTATCCGAAACGAAGGATGGGACACGAATCTTTGCCGTGCCTGGCTTAACTCCTGCACGTTATCTTAAGAAGCCATTGCACTTCCTACTCTTTCTCTTTCTCTTGAATCAAAAAACGTATTATAGCAAGGGCAGTTTATTGCACGCATGGCGCATGGAGTAGCATGGAGCGCATGGACTGGAGGGCAGACCTATAAGGTACGCAAGAAGCGACCCCTTTCCTAGCTCCATGCGATCCATGCACCCCATGCCGTGCGAGCTGCCGCGCCTTATATATTATTCTGCTTTACGTTTACTGAAAAGAAATGGCGCGAAAGCCAAAGAAAATCGTACTTACAAGGTCGTAGGTACTACCTTCACGACCAAGAGAAGTCCTTGGACTCTAACATCGTCATCGTTCAGCACCCGCATTATCGATACTATGTAGTGGGTAGTGGTAGTACACCTAAAAATAGATGCTATAGCTTTTTGAAGAAGTAGAAGATGAAAAAGAAAAACGAGCTCTAAGAAAACCTCTGGTTCTGAACCTGAAGGAGTGGAAGACGCTCCATATCCCATCTTTACGGATTCGGGTTGGAAACACTTGGTAAAGTTCGGCCGACCTAGAGCCAAAAGCATCTTGGAAGAGTGCGTGGATCTTATCGTTGCTGTGGACGAGGAACAGGAGACAGTAACGCCGGCAGTACTAGAGGAAGAGGACCACGCAGATATTGGTATAACAAGAACTGTTGGCCAGGAGGAGCAACCAGAAGGATCTTTAGATCCAACAAGAGCTTCTGTAGGGCGCCAGGAACAAGAACCATTGGGAACGAGGGGGACACCAATGGCAGTAGAAACAAGAGGTATTGTTCAAGAGGCGGCGAGCCCAGAGGTTGCTTCTGGAGGAGTTAGCAGTACAACAAGTCTTCCAGCACGGGAGGACGTAGTTGCAACTCGTATGAGTGTGGAGGTTGGCGCTAGCGGAAACATTGATTAAGGCTAGTTTATCACTATCCCGCGTGGAGTATGCTGAGTCTGAGTGGATTTTCCACTATTTACTAGGGAATTAGTTTCAAGAAGAAGATTTTTTTGTGGCAATAAAGAAAGGGGCGTCACTCAAGAACTACGGATATTAGTACTCGCGCTAAGCTGAGCCCTTACCTACCGAAGGTGCAGGTGGTGGCGCACCTCCTGGTGCGGCACAACAAGCCCAGGCCCCTTCACTATTAGGTAGTGGGAGCAGTCCAGGATCAGGAACAGCCAGAGCAGAAGGATCAAGTGGAGCTGGAAGGCCTCCAGTCAGGTCTGCGCCCACGTCTCCAGTCATGTCTCCTGTTTCGGGTGTGGAAAACGACCCTAGTCCTTCTCATTTTTATGGAAGAGTTTTGGATTTCATTTCACTTGTTGTCCCCCCGTCACTCACGACTCCCGTTCACGTTCATTCTCGTCTCATGATTAAGATTATTCGTGTGAAAAATAATCGAATAACGAAGTATTATTCCTTTTCGTTATTTTCATAGTGAACATCAATAACAATATGAACGGGAACTTTATTTTCTTTGATCGTAGCCATTTTGGCTCAAGGCTAGGAAGGGTTAGTGGGTACATGATTGTTTATTCTTGACTTGATCATCTAGCACAGAATGGAGTAGCGGCTGCGTCTGCAGTAAACAGCCCAATATTCTACTAATACAAGTTTTATTCATCATACTGTTATTTTCTTCAACTAGCACAGTACTAGGTACTAGCTAGTACTAGTAGAAGTAGTACTACGAGCTCTGCTCCAGGATGGAAGCTCCTGCTTTTTAGAAGGGTTTCCGTTTTATTTTGTGCTTTGAATATAAATAGTTGCGGATCGTTTTGCATTGTGCGTCTCCGAACTGTAAGAAACAAGAAAGTGCCCTCTTTCATTGCCAAGGGAAGCCGCGCGAAGGTGGTTCTGTTCAGGAGCGTGCTTTTGGGGCAACGATTGCAAGCAGGGGGGCTCTGATTGGAGGACCAACAGAAGCAGGTGGTAGAGCAGCTTACGCCGACCACTTACAGTAAGTATATGAATATATACCTTATCTCGATCTCCTCGATCATTTCGCCTACCGTCGTAGTTCTTGTAGAGTTGTAGTTTTTCCAGAGCCATTGTTGATGTCGATCATATCGCAAACGCGGTTCAGATAACCGTTTACAGTAGCCCATGTGCATGACTTTAGCCCAGAACACGTCTTCAAGATCTAGATGACGTGTTAGTTTTACTGTGTAAATCTAAATTCATATCATAGTGGTCGCTCACGGAGTCAGAAAGACAAAAAAGCTCATATAAGAAAAGTCACCTGACCTCTTCTACTTCTTCTTGTATGATATCAAAGTCCTCCAGAAAAGCTTCTCTAAGTAGGAAGAGCACAGACTTCGATGTTTCCTATCTTCGATGATTTCGCTCTAGAAGCGGTCGCCGAGGCACCTGCGGCGGCAAGACCAACTGAGACACCCCCGCCTGGAGTACAACGATTCGAAGAAGAAGAGCAACACCAACAGGCTCAACAGGATCGACGTCAACCAGAACAGTTACCAGAAGAAGAATCGCAGCATCTTCAGCATCATGATAGGCGTAAAAAAAAGGAGGAAAACAAACGACTGGACATTTTCGAAAGACTTATTGCCAATTTCCCTGACTTCCTGGCACAGGCGTTTGCCGCTTCCGCGAACTCGGTCGTGACAAATCGAGCGCACACTACGCCAGCCTATCCTCATCAACATTAAGGCTATAATTCATGACCCAAGATGAACCCGACCGTTCTCTCCGTTCCTCAACATTCATCGTCCATCTCCATCTTGCTTCTTTTTCAACTTTTTTGTTCTGGAAAAGAGGCCTCTTTCAAGGATCAACGTCGATCGTCTACACTGCTTCTTTTTCATAAGTGCTTCTTTTTCAACTTTTTTGAGATGAAGAAGATAAAGAAGCCTGAAGAGCTCTACTCTCACTCAAGGATACCGATACTAGGTATTACTAACTCTTCAAAGAGATTTAGGAGAGGAAGATGGGAACAATGCGGTAGCTCTAACAACAACGTCCGACTGAGGATTTGGTTCAAAGTAGGGAAAAAAAGCGGCTGGTTGATGCGCATTTGCGATCATCAGCTTTCCTTGCTGGAGATCCATTAACGGGTGCGCCTTTGTTTGAAAATTTTGCTTTCCTGCAGGAAGACCCGACAGGAGTGGTAGGAGTGGTGGAGGGTTTACTTAAGGCACAACTAGCTCTAGCACCACAAAAAATGCTGAGCTCAGTGGAGAGGCATTTGTAGTGTAGTCAGAAGTGCAGTTTCTTCTTTTAATTAAATATCTTCTTGACAACGACAACGAGGACCATTTAGTTTGTTGCATCCTTAGTTTTCAAGACTTAGTTGTTTGTGTGGTGTACATGTACTATCATCCTATCATACCAGGAGGATCATCTGAAGATAGAACTCCCGGACGGTCATCGGGAGATGCTCTTGGTGATCTGACATCTGGAGGTGCACCTTCAGCAATTACGATTTCAGAAGAGCTGCAAGAGGTAGAAGAGGAAGTAGAAGATGGCGATATGCGTGTTGAGTTACCAGATCCAGGTGCCGAGTCTCGAGCATTTCTTGAGAGACAACGCCCAGGACAAATACGAGAAACGGCGCATCAGCCAGGAACAGAAACTCGTCGTGGACAAGATCACGAGCCAGCCAGGGAAACTCAACAAGGGCATCAGCCAGGAAGAGATACTGCACATGATCAGCCAGTACGTAGAGGTACTCAACAACACCAACCAGGAAGAGGCACTACTGCTACAGTGTCACAAAGTTATCCTGCTCGTACTGGTTTGACGCAAGCCGAAAAGAAGGTCAAGAGAGCTCGACGGCATTTCTTAGCAGTGAGGGAAATCTTTGTCCGCGTTTTGGGGTATTACGCGCAAGTAGCTGGCGAGAAGTGGCAAATCATCTCGCATATGAAGGTGCCGACAAAAGACGACGTGATGGAGAGAAAGAGATCATTATGGCTGGTCGTGCAAGTTGTTAACTTAGTAGAGGACAATCCATGTAGTTTCCTAGTTGTAGGTTCATTTTGATGATGTTGAAATAGAGGTAGTTCTTGCATTTCATTTCGAGTAGCCACTCCCTGTTCTCGTTCCTGAGCAAAGACGCAGCAAGATCGTTCAAACGAACCAAAGTCAAGAATTATTCTTATTGGTAGCTGCTTTGCCTTTGCTATTGAATCCTAACGATGTAGAAAATCGAAACAAAAACAGAGGTAGTCATAGTCGTTAATATAGTAGTGATCTACTTACAACTCAGCAGCATCCTCTAACTTCTTTGGCAGGCAGCTTCCAGTTAGCGGATCTTGTCAAAAACACTGATGAACACCTTGGTGTTACAGCAGTACAAGTTGCTCAAGAAGCGAGCAATACACGACCTGTAGCGAGTGCACCTGGAGGAACTGGACCTAGTGAACCTGGAGGAACTGAACCTAGTGCACCTGGAGGAACTGAACCTGGTGAACCTGGAGAAAGTGAACCTGGTGCACCTGGACAAGAAAGTGAACCTTCCACACGAAAAACCCTTCAAGACATGCTAATTGTCAGACCGGAGTCGATTTTCAAGCATGACAAGATTACGCTTCTCCCTGACAATGAAGAGACCTTTTGGCAAGATGAAATCGGGTCAAAAACTAAGGAAGAGATTGACTTGATGTTTAACACACTGGTTTGAAGATAATGATGGTCAAAAACCAAAGAAGAGATTCACTTCTTGATGTTTAACACACTGGTTTGAAGATAATGTTGATACATCATGCTCATGGCTGCTTATAATGTTGCAACGGTTTGATCGTGATAAGGTGATAAACAAGAAGAAATTACTGACACTGGTTTGATATTGTTAAGGATACATTTGAAATTGTGTTGCATCAATGATAGTCTAGTAGTTTCAGCACGTCTCTGTGATGTGCGCCTGGCACTGCAGATCGTGCGTAGTTTGTAGATCGGATCTATTCATACAGTTGATAGCGCATTTTTCAAAAATGAACTTCAGGACAGGATTCATGGTGAGTTGCAAGGTTGTAGTCGTCGAGCTTCGTTCATGATCTGGCTGCTCCTTGCGTAGCTTTCCGATACGTGATTGGCACTCTGCCTCGACGTCGACCTCGACCTTAGTGACAATAGTTCTGCGTGACGCGAAAGGTAGCTCTTAGTGTTGCGCTGCACTTACATTGTATAACTTCGCCGTAGGTCGTCAGAGTTCTAGAGATCGGCTTTCAGTAGGTTAATCAAAATGGCGAGCAAATAATCCGGTCGGTCAGTTGAACATCAAAACGAGGACAGGAAACATAGATTGAGTGCATGTACGTTCATCAGAAAGCAGCTCTCGCGATTCCTATGATGATGATCTCAAATCGAAATCTTAATCTGAGAAGCTGCATCACATTCTTTGAGCAAGCCGTTCTTCTGTGAACAAAACTATAGAAGTACTCAGGTGTGGAGTCAAAAAATACCCTTTTCCCCACTTACAACAGGAGCAGGGGGCTTTTTGAACGAGCATAAAGTAAAACATCGTAACTACACGTACACTTAACAAAAACAAGTAGTATCGAAAAAACGACGAGTATTGGCAAGAACAAAGTAACAAAAACTTACTACAATGAATGTGCGAGGAAGTAGCACTAAAAGTAAAAAGTAAAAGACTTAGAGTAGGCGAGTCACGCCTACCTTGAAAGCAGCGTTCTTGCTTTTAAATTTGGTCTTGTGCACAAGAGCAGGACGTAGTGGTAGTGGTTAATCTTAATCCATTCGCTCAACAAGTGTAGTTGTTTTTCAATTTCATGCCATTTTCAACAATTTGAAAAATTTCTCTCAACGACGTGATTCCACTGATTCATCATGAATTTCGTTCCCACGTGATTCCACTGATAATCAAGATGGCAAAGTGTACGACCATGGTGGCTCCAACCAGGACCACCAGGACGAGCACTTGCAAGAGGACGCTCAGCAACGGAAAGAACGTTTCCATAAAAATACGCTGCCAGGCCATGGCAGGAAACTCGAAACAGCGCTACACGGTAGTTCTGAAGGGAGTCGGATTTGTATCTTGTCTTCTTCTCAATCTTCTCGTCTCTTTTCTGGGTTCTGTCATGGTCAGAGCTTCAGGCGCGCAAGAACCGCAGCCAGAGTCCTGTACTCAAGGAAGAAATGCTGATGCTGCTGCTGCTCCAATTGCAGCTGAAACACCGTCTGGCTTTGGTTTAACTGCACCTGCAACTGAGGGTCCTTCTGACCCAACTACGACTGCAGCTAAAAAACCAACTGGCCCAAATGTAGCTAAAAGACCAATGGAACTGCCTGTACCTTTGGCTGAACGCTATTTGCATCAGTGGCGAACGTTCGATACCATTGTGTTGACGAAAGGACTACCTGTAAACGAGTTTCCAGAAACCGCTTGGAAAACGACTATTGTTAAGGCTTCAGGTAATCCATCTCCCGAAGCATCCTCGGGCCTTTCTCTAAGGGAAAAGCAATGCCAGGATGATTTTCAAGATGGATTGCAGGAAGCTCTAATATCGGTGCTGATCGTGTAAAAAAAACAGCTAAGATGACGGCAGAGAAGTCCGAACAGGACAGGGAGGACACGCCTATGCAGCAGGCATCTTCGGATGTTGAACAAGGATATTCGGAATCGTGTGAAGATACTTCGGACACCGATTCTGATATTGAATGTGATGAAATTATGGAGCCGTTATTTGAAAGTAGTAGTTACAAGGAAGTGACATCCCATTCCCATGATTCCCAGACCCAGGCTTCTGGTCAAGGTCATGGTAGCCAGAAAAAGCCCACAACAGGAGCACCAAGTGGCAGTGACCATCTTTCTATTATGAGTGTAGGGAATTCATCATGATCTCCAACTGATTCATCTGAAGACAAGACAAGTGGGAGAAGGCACCGAGGTGATCCCGCTACAACTCTAGACGAATCCCTACCCCTCTAATTCGAGAAGTACCGACAAGCAAGTAGAACCTGGTGGCAACGCCAAAAAAGAATACGATGCACCACCTCGACCTGCGTCTCCCTCTGGGCGACGATTCTTTCTGTTTCGCGCAGTAAATCCTAATGAGAACGAGATGTGGCAGCCGACACCTGAGCATATGTTTATGGCTCAGACTTCATTGGCCATCACCGAACATATTACCAAAGTAGAACAAATTCAAGAACTGCATTCTCTGCTTCAAAGCTTAATACAGTAGACCAATAAAAGGTACAGGTGACTTATCTTCTCTATCTCTTAGTTTTCTCAGGCACTTATCTCTTCACGCTTACCACGATATTACCCAAAATAACAAGTGATTCGATAGATGATCACCTAGTATTTAAGACTCAGACGTCATACACATACATAAGTCTAAGTGCCGCTAACTTAGACAAAGTAGATGTAGATTTTTTGGGGTTATGCGGTCACCGACCGACATCGAAGAGGAGACCCCGTGAAAGAACAGCGAAAATAGAAAAGGGAAGAGGTGACGTTGAGAGGTTGAGGCGTGTAGATCAGAATGAATTAAATTGGTGGCCAATGAGTTCCGACCTTTAATATGTACAACAACTATGCCCTTGGAGAGTGGTCTCGTGATCCATCGTTTGATGGTCCTGTCGAAGACTATCTATTGTCTTCGCCTCCACGTCCGACCACGGGATCAAGCAGCCACTACAGAATCTTAAGACTCAAACTTCTTAATAAGTTGTATTTGCGTAGTTTGCGTGATGTCCAGATAATTGATCTTGGCTTAGAACCATCTACTTGATGACTTGCTTGCGTCCTTTCTCTACTAGAGTGATGGCGACGTGAATATTTATAGATTACATCACGGCGTGTCTTACAAATACATACAACAACAAGCTGCTATTTGAACACTATACATATTTACATGATCGAGGGCGCAGGGCGACCGGCTAGGGGCACCGGTAGCCCCAAGCCCCTTTTGAAGGCGTCTGCCGGGAGAGGGAGGCCTCAAGAGGGGGCCAAGGTAGGGGCCTCCTCCGCTCCCGTCCGGCTACCTGGCTGCTCCCTCGAGACCTCCGGTGTAGGTGGAAGGCTTCAAAAGGGGCCCAAGGGGCCGCCCGCCCTCCCTTCCAGGTGCCTGCCTGTGCCCTATATGCCTCCTATATGCTTCGCCGCCGCAGCAGTGCGCCGGTTTTGGAAGGCCTCCGAAGGCGGCAAAAGGCGAGGGGCTGGACCCCCTGAGTCGTGCGGCTTGTACCCGCCGGGCCCTTGGTCATCGGCTTGCTTGCTCTTGCGACCGTGGCTCTTAGGAACGAGGTCATATATGCATACTATTACTAATATACTTCATCAAGATAAGCACATAAATTGTAGGTGAGAGAGTGCTAAGAATCACAAATGGCGCAGGAGCATTCCCGGACGGAAGCCCCTTCGTTCTTACTTTCCGTAAAACACATTGGTGGACCCCAGATTGGCGGGAATTGAAAACTAGACGTAATTCAAAGTCTCGTTTAGCAGCAGAGCCGTACTTTCGCACGCTGCAGGCAAAATTGGAGAAACTTAATGAAAAGCAAAAGGGTAGGCTAACGCTAAAAAAGAACATATGTTTCGCTGAGACGGGATCTAAGTTCGTCGGCGAGCAATTACGAGCACGAGGGCACGATCCACTTTCACGTGGAGCAGATGAAGCGTTTGGGAGGGCTTTGCTGGCAACGTTTCAACAAGAATTGACACGGGAAATGCAGAAATTTCTTGCACCATTTCTCAAAGTTCTGTGGCTTCGCATGTCTATCAGCGATGCCCACAGAGGGCCAGCTGCATACCACACAAAGTTGTCGATGGATAAAGCGCGCGTGGTGCGCCGCTGGCTCATCTGGATATACCTAGTTACGAGAAAAAAACGTTTGAATTTGTCCGTCTAAACGTTTATTCGGTTGGACTCGAGAATTGGAACTACGTTGACTCACCGTTTTTATCCTCTCGCATCGTTCTGCCAAAATTGGGTGACTTTTTCAAGCACAACAATCTCCTTTAAAAAAATGATTATTTACGCCCCTTCCTGCTCTGTTCCCATATTACACCAATCGGAGGAGCCGTTTGATTTGACAGCCACACGCCCCCGAGTCAGACAACTTCAGATCTGTACTTCTAATGTTGGTAATGAGCTGGTGGAGCAGGGACAGTGCCAAGTGGAAGCCGGCCTCCCTGATCCGCAAGGACTTCTAGCATCCTCCGCTACGGAAGATGCTGCCACTGATGATGCTACTCAAGACGGTCCTCAAGATGGTCCTCGGAAAGAAGAAAAATGGCAATCGCCAAGCAAGGAAAATGATCAATCGCTGTCATTCGACGATGAAGTGGAGGCACTGACGCGCCTAATTAACGAAGATAAAGAGTTGCTTCTTGTGCATGATATGCGACTGACGCATACACTGATGAGAGATGAGGACACTGCTGTGTCAGTTTTGCTACCTTCAAAGGACACGTCGCTTACGGCTAGTGCATCACTATCCCATGTGGACTATGGTGAGTGGAGTCCTCCTTGAATTGAGGGGGATACTAAGGCAGAAACGCCGCGCAGGATGAGACTACCCAAGTCCCTCTTGATTGGAGGGGGAATAAACCCACTCAACCACGGATAGCGACTTGCCACCTTTAAGTCCCGTGAAGATACAAAAGAAGAGGGACACGAGGAAAAAGACCCATGGATTCGAATTTTAGAGGACACATCAGATAATGGGGACAGAGGGCGCTCTTTTGACAAGCAAGTCGCGCAGAGTAACTCGGGGATCCTTTGGTGGTTAATACAAAAGGCTTTTCTTAATATTGTCGGCCCAGCTTTCGAGGAGTGGTGGTTTTCACTGGATCGCGTGAAAGAAAAGGGGACGGGAAAACGCCTTGGCTTCGCTATTGCACCGCCCAAGCAAGCTGGACAGAATTATCCATGGAGCAAATTAGGCGAAAGTGACGTCACCCACTTCTTTCTCGGCGAAGAGCGTGACTACATCAACCGCGGCCCACACGGTGAGGTATGGCGACAAAGTCAGTCATCTCTGTCCAAGTGAGAGCAGTGCTCTGATTGCCTAACGAGACCGAGAAAAGACGAGAATAAGAGTAAGAAACTGGAGAGGTTTGAGAGGGTAGGACCGTGCCCCAATATGGCACGACTCCACTCATGGAACTCCGACAATCACTACACTAAGTGACTGCGTGGCCGTCTTTCTTGTGCAGGGCCGGCCTGTGGCTGTGAGTCAAGAGAGTAGTAACATCTACATCGAACAGGCCTCGGGCTTCCTTAAGGTTTACTCACTGTTCTTACCGTAGCAGAGATGACGGGACTCCTTCACATGAGCGAGGCTTCGCGATCTTTCCAGATGTGAGAGTATATGAGAGGTTTACTACAGCAGACAGCACAGCCGCAGTTCGTGGAGAAGGATCTTCTTGGCCTTTGGATAGGCCCGGCGTCTTTGTTGCTTGGAGCGCAAAATTGGAACAGGGGTGGCATTCGCGAGCATTTGGCGTGGTTGTTCATCCATACTTAGTACAAAAAGGAATGCTTGGACTGTGGAGCCTTACTCTTGACACCTATCGCGCGCGCCGCCGACAAAATACCGTCGAACGGCAGGAGCAGCTGCAAGACTTTCTTAAAAAGATGAAAGTGAAAAGCCCCCACAGGAATAGAATGCGCCGCAAACTTGATACGAGGGATGTGGATCATCATGGGGAAGCAGTGGGAGTGGAACAGGGACTAGTGGGCCACAAAGTTAAGGCAAATTTTTAGAGTGTGTCCCCCAGCAGCATTGCTTTTGCCTTCTTTTTAATGTACTTAGAAAAAGGGGGGAGGGATGCTAAGACCAGTGATGACAAGTGGGGACTAAACCAAGCAGTTACTGCGGCAGCGCTAAGAAAGAACGGCAACGACCACAGGGGCATGAGCAGTTGGAGACGCAGTCGAAAGTAGAGTCCATACTGAACCATGATTCAAGCAGGGACCTACAGTATCTCAGCCGTGAATTGGAAAAAGTATTTGGGCTAACGCATGAGAAACGCCGGAAACTAGTACGAGACTGGCGCGACGAACACGAGCGGAGGAAGGTGATTTTCGCTTTCGAGCGCTTTGTGAGTCTGTTGAGTCGAAGCATCGGAGATGATGCACCTGCATATTTTCGGGTTAAGGCTACCGCTTAGAGAGCACGAGCACCACTCCTCATGCATCTGCATACAACTCATACCTTTCTATCATAGAGAGAATACCGCCATCGCTTTACATTTTCTGATTGAAAAAAAAGTAGCCTCCAACCCCAAGGATGTCGATGTAGATTTCTTCTGAGGGAGGTGCGAACGCGCTAGAAGCTCTAATTGGGAGAGAGTTCGCAACGTCCTCGAAGAATTCTTCCGCGGCGAACACAAAACAACATCCGAGGCCGACCCCTATTTTGTGAGGGAACGTCAAGTTTTTCCGGTACCTGAAGAATCCCTGGAAGATCGACCGATACCTGGTGAACAGGAGATGAAAGCGGAACAACAAAAAGCGCTGAGGCGTGCCGAAAGTTGGGGTCTGAAATGTCACCTCTGCGTCACTTTTTACCTAGTAAGAGACTTACAGATGAATGTTACACTTCTAGTACTCGTCCTTGATGAAGTATATTCACTTTAGACAAAAAGTAGACAGCTCGAGCCCAGTAATTTCTACTAACCTCCTGTGGATGAATTCATGGGATCTTAAGATTTTTTTCAATTTGAATTTCATGATGATAAATCAATTTCATTTGAATTTCATCAAGATAATCACGGAACTGTTCCATATCTAAGAAGAGCAATGGAATTTGGAAGAAAAGGTGTTGCAGTCCATTTACCATACTAGTAAGTTAAGGCTCCCCCAAGTTCATCTCTATAGGGATCGATCCCTCAACCGTATGCGCCCAGATACAAGGGAAATAGTGACGCATACGCCTGAGGGATTTCCACAGGGATGAACTAGGGAGAAGTTTAAGGAAGGGAGACCAGGAGGCGTCCCACGATGCGCGAATGGAGGCGCCCTCCTCAAGGCCATCGGCTACCGATGGCGTGCTTCGTGATGAACAGGACGAGATGGAAGACCCTGGCCACGTGTTTAATGGAGGCGATTCTGTCTTTGACACTTCCGAGCCGTTGTTTTGGGGTAAGAATAATCCGTGCGCCAGGTTGTTTGTTGAGAGTTACGCACCGTTAATCCTGGACCTAGCGCCTCACTGGAACATGCCTCTTCTCGCGTATAGTCTGGAAAATAATCTCTTCGATTCAAGGGATAGCGATTTGCCTGGGGAGGTACGGTTTACCGCTCGTCAGGGGGCTGAGATGAGGCGCGCACGCAGCACAGAGGAGTGCCTAGCACGTGAAGTGCGCAGGCGGGTGGCCTCTCTCTACAGTCGTTATTTTGATCTGGACACAACTCTTTCTCAAGACCACCATGGAAAACCTGCAAGGTGGATGAAGAAAAGCAAGAAGGACCCAAGCAAGAGGAGGAGCAAAGGGGCGAGGAACTTGCGTTGGCTGCTGAGTTTGTATCAGCGAAGATACGAGAAAGAGGTGGCGTACGTCCGGGAGAGTTCAGGAGGAGCCACCAAAGCGAATATAGCCCCTCCAACCCTCGCAACGATTTGGAATTTGGAGGTGAAGAAAGCAGTCTGGGAAGGTTGTAGAGCAGCGCAGGAGGTGCGTTCTTGTTTTCGAGGCGACACCACTTTTTTGAACAGAGTTTTACTTCAGGTTGCCCCTAAAGACGCTCCTCCCCGGTTGGATGCAATTGATTTTTTACGTACGCCTTACCACTTCGTTGACGAGAAAACTGGGGAAGTAGTTGTAAGGAGGACTCGGGCAGATGAAGATCAGCAGAGAAAGGAGATGGAGGTAGACCAGCAGCAGGGAGAAGCGGAGCCGAAGATGGACTTTAATGCTTGATGCAATTCATTTCCAATGGTCGTCTTCTTCTGTTTCCTTGTTAGGATTCTGAGGAAGTGAAGGGGTGGACGTGAAGTGAACTGCTTTGAGCTCTAAGGACTCAGCCTCTGCTCGAAAAATAAAAACGAGACACGAGGAGCAAGAAGGGAGTGATGAATTTGAAGGCGACCTCCGAGACCGACCTGCGCAGGGCATGTGGGTGCGTGCGTCTGATGGTGCTACTGTTAGATCATACAGGACACAGCCTTATGATGAAGGGGAAAAGTGCACACACAAGCAAAACACTGGCTAGGATTTATGGTAGGAAGCTAGACACTTTTTTGACTATGAGTGCACCTGTTTCTTTCATACTGCCAAGTGTATGGGCGGGATTCCCTTAAGAGTTCCTCCTGACTGGAATTCCGCTTTACATGATCAGGCGTTGAACAAGCGTTGCAAGGACGAAAGCGCTGGAGGTGATGAGAAGAATAAGGGCGAGAGCGAGAAGCAGGTGACGACAACTGCTCCGACAACTGCTCCTCAGATGGGGCAGGCGCAGCAAAGAGAGGAGAAGCAAGATGTTCGAATGCTCCACTCACCCTATTTTTGGGACCAAGTCGGCTCAGGCATTCACCGTCCTCTGCTGCAACTCGCTATCTTTCATATTGATAGGCACTTCGCCATTTACCCTGCTCCAAGAGTTACAGACGTCGTTTTTCATGGGTTTGCGAACTCCTTGGAATCGAACGCACTTCAGGCTGCACGGGCTAGCGCGATGCATGACGGCCACGAGTTTTTTCTTTACTTAAGAAAACCGCCCTCACGTATTCTTATAGGTATACAAGTTGTTGTAATCAAAATCCATCTCATCTTACAGTTACATACACTTACTAGTCTTCTGTTGTAGGGAACGAAGCTGAAGTTCCCTGTCCCTCAACGAGCCGTACTATACTCACGAACTATACGCCTACGCACAGCCATACGTCGGAAGATGTTACAGCTTACGATGACTGTTGACTTTTGACGAGGTTGACGGATCTTCCGTTCCTCCGAGAAATGAGAATGACTTGGCCTAATAGGTTCAGTGCTCTAACTTACGTCGAGCTGTCCACTGGTCAAACCCTTGCCCATCGGAGGTGTGGGCCTCAGTCTCTGTGGCACGCAGACGGGACCGACGCAAAACTACACAAGTGGCAGCTATATCCGCCAAATGCACGAGCGTATAGCACCCATGCTCTGCAGTGGATCAGATCGGTTAAATATAGGCTCTCCGACGACTACTACATCAAGCTCAAAGCCGAGCATGTAGTTCCGACATCCTATAAGATGACTCCAGTACTTTAAGGCTGCTCAAGTCATTCAATTTCAACAGGTCATTTTTCTCCATTTTCTTTTTGAAATGCTTCGCCTAAGACTATGAGCCATGAACGTAAGAAATGAACTATTTTGAGCTCTAAGCACTAGAGTCGTACTCTGTGATCGATGAAGAGAAGGCCCTTTTAGTGGGTGGAATTCACACGTTTATTATGGCGAAGAATGAGACAGCCAAGCGGCCTGGGAATTACAAACCTCCAGAATTCACTCACGAAACCCAATACGAATGGCCGCCCGGTGAAGAAATTAATCGTGAGAGCCTCTGGGGGCGGCGCGAATGGTACGGTGAGGCAGGATTGCACAGCGACTACTTGAAAAAGTCAAGAGAGCGAGGACATGAAGTAGACCAAAAGAGGCCTCGTGGCGAAAATCCCGTGGTCTCTTATGATTGGGTTGAGGTAGACAAAAACGAGGGTGCTAAGATGAAAATGCACAATGAGAAGCTGCTTGCTCACTACCTAGAACGCCTGCAAGGCGGAATGCAGTCATCCTGGGGTGGCCATCAAGGTAAACCACAGTCTTTCGAGAAGCAGAAGATTCATCTGCCCTATAAGTCACAACTACACTCAATGTTTGACGAAGGATTGACTGTTGTTAACGATCGCAAAAGCAGGCTACCACGACAAGAACCACCAGGTGGCGATACTGGAACTGGAAGAAGAGAAATACGAGAAGATGAAGATGATGATCGAGCTTTACAGTACGAAGCTGCGCCAAAGGCAGAACTTGTACAAATTCTTAAAGAGCACGCAAGAAGGCAGATGACAGAGCTAACGGCCGCGGCTTGTAGAAATCAAATGGAAAATTCAGAAGACAAAGACAAACAAGTAAAAGTAGTGGAGCAGGAGCAACAACAAGAACAAAAGGCCTGCTTCGTGACGGCTCCTACAACTGCTTCATCTCGTCATATGCAAGGTACTACGACTCCCTCCGCGAAGGATGACCACATCGACGACATCGACATGCAGCGTTGGAATCTCTACTCCCCTGAGGACGGGTTAGCGAACGAACCTGCATTCCTGATTGAAGCTGCCTCCGTGGAGGAGTTGGCAAGCAGTGCTGGAGCTGGACAAGATGGCGCGTTCCGCTTTTCTGTAGCGCTCCAAGACTTCCCCGTGTTTCCCGATAGCGAACGGATGGAGGATCTTCAAGTGCGTGCTTTGAACGAGTTCCTTATCAGCGTTGCGTGGAAGTTTCCAAGTCGTTTGGATGCGACGGTCCGAGCATTTCAGTCGGAGATTCACACTCGCGAAATCTTATCACGACAGACAGACTCGATTCAGAAATATTCGCACTTTTTGGCGTGGACCTATGCAAACAATGGAATGCAGGACCTGCAAATTAGGGGTATATGTGTCGACGATGTAGTCGCCAAAACGATCCAGATTTAAGGCAACCGAGACGCGAGCATCCTCAGTATGATCACCTTAGGGGGCTCTTTTTCAGGGGGAAAAAGACGTACCCAAGGAAGATAGTCTCAAGGAAGATGCGACGCGGTAGCTCTAACGAATCTGTGCACCAGGAGGAGGAAACGCGGAGCACCAGGCGGGCCAGCAAATATTGAATGATGGGGCAACAGAAGACGGTGGAGTTGCATATTTTCATGACTTCAGGAATATTTGGGAAGATTTCATTTTGAATCCCGGGCCTGAGTTTCATCCTGGAAACCCAGGATATCTTACCAATGGAGCAGCGGAGAGGCTTTATGGCGGAAGAGTCTCTGCCAACATGTACATCCATTGGTCAGATCAGGAGAGTGTGGCGCAGTTGGCAGCTTTCGGCAGACTGCAGCATCAAGAGCCCCAGCGCCAAGTACCTGCTGCAGCCGGAGGAGAAGGAGATGCAGAAGGAGCGACTTTTATGAGGAGAAAAAACACACTCACACTCAACAGAAGTGAAATAAGTAGGCATAGCTTCTCGTTCATATTAGCTGTAGATCATGTTGAGAATGAGCACAATCATTCTACTGAAAGAAAGAATGGTACTGAAAATGAGAATGAGCAACCGTCGTGAGTATATTTTTCTCCTTCATTATCTTTATCGGTACGCTCCTATCAGAGACGGCGAAACATGAAAAAGCGGGTGTCGCTGTTCTGACTCCAAGGGAAGACGAGGAGATGCGACAAGAAGAATGTGTAGAATGTGAAGACACGGGATGTATAGAAGAAGCCCTAGCTTCCCTACACCTAGGAAGAAATACAGAGGACGCCGACACTCTACCACCTACTTCTAAACGCAACAGGCTGCCAAAGCCAATAGAAACAGAAGCAACTACGGCCTCCACGCCTAGTAAAAGTAATATCAATCGTGACTGCTCTATTAAACAAGGAGAAAAAGCATCTTTATTGTTTTCTGGTGGAGACGAGGGGGACGAGCCTACGAGAATCCGAAGAGGACGAGCACAGGGAGATGATATGGACGAGGCTAATCCTAACCGATCAACCCCACGTCGAGCAGAACGGCCCCAGCCAGATGACATGGAGGGAGCAAGACGAGCTGCTGCTTTCTTCGAAGCAGATGATGAGAGAGATGCGCAAGAACGACTGCGAAGGATCGACTACTTCCTAGATTATCAGGCAGAGGCGATGGGTTCGCTCGTACTTCGTGTGGTTAGGAATTTCGCCGCGCCCGTAATGGAACCTGCAATGGCACGTGAAAAACTAGGAAGGAAAGATTTCGAGGAGTTACTCATCCAAGACGAGCAGGAAGATGTTGGGGTAGACTTTGACGTCGAGTTCGAAAAGGAGGACCAGAACGTCGAGGAGCCGGAGTGCGAAGAAGAAGACCTGCTCGTGAATGCTGTTGAAGGTAAATTGACCATCGTGGAAGATGATCCGCAGACCTCCACGGGTGGGCGTGGGCAGGGCTTCCTTGAACGAAGGTCTTCTCCTAGTCACCGAGAGGTCGATACTGCCTATCATGGAGCACGCGGCGTGACTAGTGCGGCTGATTGCCGAAGTAGATCGCGGAGTCCGAGTCGAAGCTGCGATCGAGATGAAGCAAAAAGAAAAAAGAAGCTACGAAGGCGCATGGTTGGAAGTGTGTCCCCATCTCATGCTTCTTCTAGTTCTGGCTCTTCGTCTGGCTCTGCTGCGTCTGGGAAAGATGACAATGATACGAATGAAGATCAGGTGGAGGTGAAAGGGGAGTTTGCATTTTACTTTGTAGATCCGCAGGCAAGGTTTCTGAACACGAAAATCGGCGAGCAAGATTCACGTCTCAGGGACGTTTTTGTCAACAAAGAAAACGATCTGCAAGTGACATGCGAAGGCTGTAGTGAAGCAGGGAAGAGCGCAAAAACTACGGAAGAAGGCCGCGCTGGTGTTGGAGAAGTTGATGGAGCACAAGCAGTAGACGATGTGGAGATGAAAGATCCTGGCTCAAAAGAAGATCCTGACTCAAAAGCTGAAGAAGATTTGCTCTCAGATCAATTGGATTCAGATCGAGAACTAGAAGATGATCCAGAAGATGTAAAGGCAGCTGGGTCTGCAGAAGTTTGGTCTGCAGAAGACGAAAGGAAATCTTCAATGCGCCTTTTTTGGAAAAATGTTCAGTGGTCTGTTTTACGGCATGATCAGTACCTTGCGATCGACGTCATACTAGAGAAGCTCTTAGTTAAGGATTGGAAGTTGGCCGGTCTATACAACGCACAGATATCTAACTATGACTTTTTCAGCAAGTAGATGAAAACGAAAAGTCATAGATATGGGAGATAGATCGGCCACTTTTCAACGTGCTCTAACTTAACACACCTCCTGTTCCGGCCAAAGGTCTACACACATGAAGGGCCGCCTTCTCCCAAAGCCCATCAGCAAGTTCAGGAAGCCTTTGAGTTTGCAGGGGTTTTCCCGAATCTAGCAGGGAAACGCATTGGGAAGGTCGTTGCTGATAGATCTTCCCTTTACAATTACCCTTACCTCCGGATAGATGACGCTGTGCATACTTTTCTCTTCGACAGGCCAGAGACAAAACTTTTCGGTCTTAGAGTAGATTCAGATGTAACGCTGCTGAACCGCCGCGACCCACTTGGGGATGAGTTCGCCTATATTCCGCCAAGTCAAGCTCAAGCTCCTCGTGAGTTCTGGTTAGAGCGGAAAAAACTGAAGAGAGGCATTTATTCTGACATGGTAAAGGCTGACCAGAAAATTGCCCAGGAATTGAATGAAAAAGCTGCGGAACAAAGAATAAGAGCGCCAAAAAAAAGCGATCTACTAGGAAAACGAGAGCAGCACAGCACCAGAGCGCCGCACCAAGATTCAAGTTTTTCTGGTGGAGCAGCAAGTTCGAGGAGAGTGATGCCTCTTGTCGTTCGCAAGGCTAACACCTTGTATTCCGCAATTGAGTCGCACTACAAACTTTTCTACCGTGACGTGATCGATTGGTTGATTAATAGAGTCCGAATTGCAGCATATGAGGACCGACAAGCGGACAGGAGTCTTTCGTCGGATATTGCCGAACTTGGAAATTAAGACGATATTTATACCACCCAAGCTTCTACTTACTTATAGTTATAATATATAGAGTTAGAGTAGTTTCTGCAATGATCTTTCAACCTTTAGTAAATTTAAATAGCTGCTTATTGATATTGCTATTCTTGGACTTGGTATTGCAATTCCTATAGCTATTGCTATACTATACGGCTAGATAAAGATAAGTGGAGATGCAGCTTTGGGTCGAGTAGTTTCTTTTTGGAAGAAGTGCCACGAATAGCTGAGCCTCTACGTTGTTGGAGGTAGAACAATATAGTAGAGAAACTCTAAGTTTAAAACCCTCTCGACGCAAAGTAGATACGTCCTACCTCTAAGAACAGACAGACATCTTTCCCATTCCCAGCCACTTGTTTTGTGCCGAACTGGAACGCCAATTGGCGGTTGAGGAGGACAAAAGAGGACAATCTATCCGCGTCGCGTTATATGTCATCTCGCAGCAGACTGGCGTCCCATGGAAGAAACTGGAGCAGTATTACTGGTTGCTGGAGAGTTCCGATAGGGCACAACGCTGCACAACGCTGCACGACAGCTACACAACTCGAGATGGTAAAATACGAACACAAGAAGATCATGAATCGGGTTTGCGACGCCATCAGCATATTAGCTTGCGCTCTGAGTACACAAAAACAACAGGCACAAGGTATGATAGGCTTCATATACCTGCTGCCGATGAAGAAGAAGAGCCAAAAAGACGAGGCGAAGACGACCATGACGAGGGCGAGGAGAGCTCCATACTAGAAGAGACGAGAGCTGTAGACATCAACCTTATTGATTTCCACAAAAAGCTAAAACGCTTAACGTTGGAGGGAAGCGGAGATCTTTCGTTCTCCAGACCACATGATCACGCTTTTTGTAAAGGCATCCAACCTTGGCTAAGGGACAGCGTCGAGGGATTTTGGACTACGAGGCCACAGATTTTTGATAACATGGGGGCTTTGGTATTCAGAGGAAACCAGCGCTCGAATCCCTTGCAGCCTTTCTTCAGCGAAATGAGTGGTCTTCTTTCAGAGACGCGCGATGCAGGAGGTGGCGGCGGCGCAGATGGAAGTCACACCACGGGCAGCGGTGCTGGTGGCGCTCGTGGTGGAGGAACAGGGGGTAGTCGTGGTAGCGGTGACGTAGAAGGAGTTGGAAGCCGCAGCACCGGCGGTTGTGGCGGAGGGAGTAGTTCTAGCGGTGCCCCTGGCGCAACAGGTGGTCGTGGTGGAGGCGCTTCCTCCACATGCTCAGGCCGCCATCAGCATAGCACTAGTGCCGCTTCTTCTAGTAGCTGCCAGCAGAGAAAAAAGCACCAACACCAAGAGAGGAAGAAACAAGTTGAAGAGTTGACTTTGGTCAAGTTGTTAGCTGAAGACGAAACGCGCGCTCGTGAGACATTTGAAAATGGAGAGTTCATTAAGGGTTACCGTAATACATTCTTCGCCACCATTCTCGACCTGTTTCCCAGTGGGAGAGGAGTCAAGGATGATGTGAAGAATGCAATGTCGCAACCTCTGTCTAAGTTCAAGCACGGCCCTCGCTTTCAAATTTTCTTAGGCCAAGAAACCATAACCACAAAGGCCCTCGACGTCGCAGAAGGCGAGAACAATCTGAAGCATGAAGCTCTACTAACAGCCTTATTCAAGATCCAAGATGGTCTCGAGCAGACACTGGACAAGTGGCTTCAAAGACAAAGGAGGCTAAGGCCGCTATTTTTTGTGCCACCAGCTAGAGGAAAAAATAGTCCACGTGAGCCTCCAGTTCAACAAGAAAGTCCTCCAGGACCACCGCTGGATGTTCATCTCGCAGAGCCGGTTCCCTCTGATCATGCTGGTTTGCATTTCAGTACCATGACGCGTAGTTTGCCAAAAATTCATGAGGCAAATGCGTTCGAATCTTGGTCTAAGCACCTACAAGACATACGACCGCAGGACTCTCTTCTACAGGTTTTAGAAGGGCTGCTGCTACATCAGGACGCGGGCCGCGGGATCATCCGCCGTGTACAACCACGAGAAGAAGAAGAACTCACGCAACAACCAGGAGTCGAACCAAATCGACCAGGAATCGAACACGAACAAGTCACGCCAGCTCCTTATGCGACGCGAGGTGGCCTTTTCAAGGAGTGGCTGAGATGGGTCTCCGCAGATGATGAGAGACTCAAGCTCGAAGCAGCCTGGCGTCGTCGCGAAGGCATGGCTATATCTTTTGTCCGTGGATTTGAATACTTGGTGAGGGCGTATGATCGTGTTGTGCACTGGTTACAGTGTGACGCCGTAAGCGACAGCCGTTCCTTCCAGGGAAGTGCAGGTGAGAAGGCGGGGAAACGTTTTTTTGTTCCCCGTGACGGATATAAGCAGGCACCTCCTGGTGAAGATGATCTTAGGAGCCGGTTCTTATAAATATATAATTTCCTACATCAACACCGAGTCGGTGTCACGGACTGCAACAGCAACAGCTCTCCCAAAGATAAGTTGGCTTTACGCTCTTCTTGGCAAGATAAACTCTTGCTCAACATTTTAGTGTACTGGATGCAAGACCCGTCGTGGTTGTCTAAGTTAGTATTTCAACATCGCGGTACTAGGATTAGGGGTAGCAGTTCCTGCTAATGTAAGTAGAAGGTAGGACGATAACACTAGACCAGAAACGTTATGGTACAACCGAAGATGAAAAGGAACAATCCTCACGTACACATAGTTGACGACCCACATAAGTACTTGACCTTGCATGTTCTTGACCTCGCTTGTCCTAGAGTTCGAATACCGAATTCAAGTTCTTGCAAAACCAAAAGGGAAAGCCTTTGTTCTTCTAAAATGTAGCAAAACCGTTTTGACGATGGCGCTCCGTATCCCGTCTTTACAGATTCAAGGTGGAGCCACCTGGTGAAGTTCGGCCGACCTAGAGCCAAAAGTATCTTGGAAGAGTGCGTAGACCTCGTCGTTGCTGTAGACGAGGAACAGGAGACAGTGACGAAGGTCTTTGACAGTCCGCATGATCAAGACGAAGCAGTAGTAGGCGAAGTAGTATTAGCAGATGTTGGTATAGCGAGAACTGTTGGCCAGGAGGAGCAACCAGAAGGATCTTTAGATCCAACAAGAGCTCCTGCTGTAGGGCGCCAGGGACAAGAAGCATCAAGTGGAGGCTTTCCGACAGAACAAATGTCGCGACAAGGAGGGGGTGGAGATTATGGAAGAGTTTTGGATTTCTATTTCACTTGTTGTCTTGTTGTCCCCCCATCACTCACGACTCCCGTTCACGTTCACTCTCGTCTCATGATTAAGATTATTCGTGTTAAAAATAATCTAATAACGAAGTACTACAACTACTTCTATTCATTTTCGATATTTTCATTATACTAGTTTGCTAGACGAGCTCCACCGGAATTACACTGTGCATGAACAACTGATGAAACTTGATTTTCTCGTAGTAGTTCTTACCTTGTTCAACTTGTTCTCCTACGTCAAATACAGGGCTAGCACAGATGTCTCTTCTTCATTTCTTCTACTAGTACAAGTAGTATTAGCTCTGCTCCAGGATGCGAGGTTCTGGATTTTAGAAGGGTTTCCGTTTTTGTACTTTTAAATATAGGTCGTGGTCGTGGTTCGTTTTGTGTTTGTGCGTCTCCGAACTGTAAGAAAGTACCAGTGCCCTCTTTCATTGCCAAGGGAAGCCGCGCAAAGGTGGTCCGGTTCAGGAGCGTGTTGTTCTGCCAACGATTACAAGCACGGGGGATGTGATTGAAGCACCAGCTTATGACCACTTAAGTGATAATAGTATCTTTAACATATAAATATAAGTCTCTGGATCTCCTCGATCGTTTCACCCAGCGTCGCAGTTCTTGTAGAGTTGTTGTTCAAGATCTAGATGATCTTCTACTGTGTAAATTCATATCATGGTCGGACACGTCTTCAAGATCTACATGGTCTTCTACTGTGTAAAATCATTGTCGGAGTAGGAGTCAGAAGTATGGGTAAGCGTATAAGAATATTAACTTAGTTCTAGCATAAGATAAGGATAAGCATAATTTTTACCACGAGTATGATCGTTATCAAAAAGCTTCTCTAAGTACGGCGCGAGCGACCTTCATCTTCACTTCTCGTCTTCGACGAGCACGAGCCAGCCCAAGTACCAGCTGTAGCCGGCCCACGCGGACCATCGCCTGGAGTACGATCCGAACATGAAGAGCAACACCAACAGGCTCAACTACGGGCTCGACGTCAACCTGAAGAACAAGGAGAACAGTTACCAGACGAACAATTGCAGCATCAGCATCATGATCGCCGTAGAAAAGAGGAGGAAAATAAACGTTTGGACATTTTCGAAAGACTTATTGCTAACTTTCCTGACTTCCTGGCACAAGTTTTCGCCGCTTCCTCGAACTCGGTCGTGACAAATCGAGCACACACTACGCCAGCGGCTGATCCTCATCAACATTAAGGCTATCTTCACCCAAGGACCATCCTCTTCCTTCGTTCCTCAACTACATTCATCGTCTTTGCATCTCTCTCCACATCCAGATCCACTTAATATGAAAAAAGAGCCTTTTTCAAGGATATATTAATACTCTCAAAGAGGAAGATGCGAATGCGGTAGCTCTAACAACAACGTCCGACTGAGGATTTGGTTCAAAGTAGGGAAAAAAAGCGGCTGGTTGATGCGCATTTGCGATCATCAGCTTTCCTTGCTGGAGATCCATTAACGGGCGCGCCATTGTTTGAAAATTTCGCTTTTCTGCTGGAAGACGCGACAGGAGTGGTGGAGGGTTTACTTAAGGCACTATCTCTAGCACCACGAAAAATAAATCACTTGTTGATGTTCGGTGGAGAGGCATTTGTAGTGGAGTCAAACGAACTCTAGCAATAAGTTGATGCTCGGTGGGGAAGCATTTGTAGTGACACAGGTAGTGGTAGTGTAGTCAGAAAGGCAGTTTCTTCTTGTAATTTTAATTTTTGTTCTTACAAGAGTTATTTATCAAATGCGCGACTGTGGTGTACATGTACTATCATCCTATCATCTCCATATCAATTATATCTAATGTACGCCGAGATCTCGCAGCAGAGCAGGCACAAGAAAGAGAACGCATACCAGGAGGATCGTCTGATGATAGAACTCCCGGACGGTCATCGGGAGCTGCTCTTGGTGATCTGACATCTGGAGGTGCACCTTCAGCAATTACGATTTCAGAAGAGCTGCAAGTGGTTGATGAAGTAGAAGATGGCGATATGCGTGCTGAGTTACCAGACCCAGGTGCCGAGTCTCGAGGAACGACTCCTGCAGCATCACAAATAAGTCCTCCTCGTGGTTTGACGCAAGCTGAAAAGAAGGTGAAGAGAGCACGACGGCATTTCTTAGCGGTAAGGGAAATTTTTGTCCGCGTTTTGGGGTATTACGCGCAAGTAGCTGGCGAGAAGTGGCAAATCGTCACGCATATGAAGGTGCCGACAAAAGACGATGTCATGGAGAGAAAGAGATCATTATGGCTGGTGCAAGTTCTTGTTAACTTAGTTGTAGAAGACAATCCATGTAGTTTCCTAGTTGTCGGTTTTTGATGATGAGGTGGAGGTAGTTTTTGCATTTCATTTCGAGTAGCCACTCCCTGTTCTCGTTCCTGAGCAAAGACGCAGCAAGATCGTTCAAACGAACCAAAGTCAAGAATTATTCTTATTGGTAGCTGCTTTGCCTTTGCTATTGAATCCTAACGATGTAAAAAATCGAAACAAAAACAGAGATCTGAGATGGTCATAGTTGTCATAGTAGTGATCTACTTACAAGTACAACTCAACAGCATCCTCTAACTTCTTTGGCAGGCAGCTTCCAGTTAGCGGATCTTGTCAAAAACACTGATGAACACCTTGGTGTTACAGCAGTACAAGTTGCTCAAGAAGCGAGCAATACACCTGTAGCGAGTGCACCTGGAGGAACTGAACCTAGTGAACCTTCCACACGAGGAACCCTTCAAGACATGCTAATTGTCAGACCGGAGTCGATGTTCAAGCATGACAAGATTACGCTTCTCCCTGACAATGAAGAGACCTTTTGGGAAGATGAAATCGGGTCAAAAACCAAAGAAGAGATTGACTTGATGTTTAACACACTGGTTTGAAGATAATGATACATCATGGCTATAATGTCGCAACGGTTTGATTGTGATAAGTAGGTGTAGAACAAGAAGAAATTACTGACACTGGTTTGATATTGTTAATGATACGTCATTTTTGGGATCTTTGTTCTTTATTTCAAAGCAATCTCCATCTCGCGAAATGACATTTTTTATCGATTTTAGTACTCGGATTAGCAAGTATATTAGGCTTAGGTAACAAGAATTGTTCTTGTTACATGAAACAAGAAGCATCAGCAAACAAGCGTCAATCGTTCAACATTGTAAAAGGACAACTCTAACAAGGATAATGAATCCCAAATTGCATCAGTGTCACTCAATTATTATCCACTACAAAATAATGTTATATGAGGGGATCAATACGAATATCGATGGAAAAATGACTCATACATAGATACCTTTAGCCATGTCTACCAATAAGATGCACAAACCATTGCACCGTTCTTTCATGAAAATATACCACTGTTATCTTTCATTTGAGGCAAGACCAAGAGCAAGACTTTGGTGAAACAACAATAAGATGAAAATGTTTTAGAATTTCGTCGCATGTGCAAGATATCTCTTTTTTTTGGAAAAATTTCAATTTGATTCGCAGACAAATCTAGGAAGGAGCAAATTATTTTGAAGCTCCTTGTGCTTTTGTGTCACTCAGTCCTCCTCATCTTCGAGGAAGAATGACCTTTGAAAGAGCAATACAACCACGGGGATGCGTCTGGGAGTAGAAAAAAGTGTAAATACACCTTCTCCTTCCTGTGACGACTGAGTATCTTATCTTCATCATTGACTGCATATCAGCGTCATGGTTCAGTTCCACTATGGATTTTCGGAAGAGAGCATGAAGTTGCAGCAGCGACGCAACTACTAGTTTTACCAATATCGAATTCCCGCAGCGCCTTGACCCTCACCCTCTACGAGAAACAAAAATGTTAGATTCACTACTACTCCAACTCCATGTAGTCGTCCATTTCCGCAGCGCCTTGACCCTCTAGCAGGAACTGAAAGTGAAACACATAGTACAGAATTTCTGCGCAAAGATGAACATGCTTTCCATCATTTCCGACATCTAAAAACAGGAAGAGAAAGTTTTAGCGCGCACATAAAATGAATAATTTTTCTTCTTGGTTCATTTTGATGTTGATGAAATTGAAAACATCACTAACACAAGGGGTTTGAACTCACATGTTGGGATCGTTAAGTATTTCTTGAAGAGTGTCAGGAGGGGCGTTAAACTTTTTTACCAAAAAAGTGATGTAGCCTGGTGTAGTGTAGTCACCAGACTGACAGCAATGTGAAAAATAACGATCATCATGAGGATGATGATCTCATATTTATATTTGAGATATTCCGAGCAACTAGATGTTGAGATAAACTAACAAAGCGTACTATTTTCACGTAGAGACGAGAGAACAAGAACCAGCATGGCTAGCTGTAATGAGATTTGAAGAGATTTCATCTTTTTTCTTCTTATAGATTAAGATAGCGCATAACGTGTTTTCCGTTGCTGTATGATTCAATAAGTTTAACCTCCTGTGAAGAGTCGTACTTTTCATATGAAGTGATGAATTTGGAAGTCTATGTATTCCTATTGTATTAGTATTGTGTCGATAGCAATTTGCTTCAGAGGAGTGTCTGACGACGAGGCAACAAGAATAGCGCCGCATGATGCTATAATTGCTCGTATTGGTATTGATTGTACAAATAAGAGGTAAGTAGATGAATCAATGATGTGATGATCAGGCCGATTGAATGTTGTGTTATCGCACGTCATTACGATTGAATTAAGATTGAGTGCCTGCTATCTAACCAACATCACTAAATTACTGAAGTAGAAGTAAGTGTTTCTTTTATGAAAAATGTAACTAAGCAATGTTCTTCATGGAATGAAGCTGGAGAAGACTGCAACATCAAGATGATTGTACGAGTGGTCCGAGTGATGCCTATCAAAGCTGCTGCTCGGCTTCAGGTACGGGTACCGCGACTCCCCTATCTGTTGAAGAGATGGGACAAGAGGATGACGAAATACTACAAGAAGAAGGATTTGGACGATGCAATCCAAGATCCTAGAAGTCCGCAACATAAAAATGCAAGATGTGCCTCAGCATCAACGCCTTCAGGCAGGAGCAGGGCTCCTACGAGTACTAGAGCAGCCGCTACGATTTTTACTAGGGCAGCAACAAGCAGGGCATCTGTTGTTAGTCCTGGTCAACTTGTTTCTCTCATCGTATGCTCAATATTCACGACCTTGATCACAACTGATGCGAGAGCTGGCTTCCTGCCGAGTGAGAGTAGTTTTCAACCATATCACAGCACTGCTAGAATGTCTGTGTCCGCACATGGTCTTCGTGAGGATGAAGGACCTTATAGTGATGACCGTGAAGATGAAGAAGAACAGAAGATAAAAAAACCTTCACTAGTACCAGAAGAGAGTTAAGGCCAAACATGATGACTCACTATCATCTGTAAAATAAAACTGTACAAGCTGGAGGTGGTGGTGTTACTAGGAGGTACTTCTAGTTCTATGTACCTATTTTTCTGATGGATTTTGCGTCTCGCTTACTTAAATACTTTGAATGATTTATGAATGGGGAAATGAATTCGGAATCTTCTACGACTAAGAGAAGCCGTGGTCGAAGGAACAGCGCAATATAGTACCTGTTCCTGTGCAGATTGACACTCTTGCTTTTGCGAAGGGTTTGCCGGTGAGTGAAGTTCCAATAAGGGCTTGGAAAACAACGTTGAGTTAAGGCTACCGCTGGGCCATCCTCAACAACATCCTTGGCCCTTTTTTCAAGGAGAAAAAGGGACCAGGGAGGTTCTCGGGGATGCGAGCGCGGTAGCTCTAACTGAGGGAGCAAGAAGTAACAGGAGATTGCTCAGGAGACTTCGAAGATTGCTCAGGAGATCGAGATTCAGAAGATTCATCTTCAGTGTCAGGGGAAGAGATGGAATGCGATGACCAACAGCCAATTTGTATGGAGAAAAGGCAGAAGATCACAAAGGCTGCAGGGTCTCCTTCTGGCTGTGGCAACGCCGCAAGAACATTCAGAAGTAGTACTGGAGGACTTGTTCAACAGCAACATCATGATGAGCAGCCTGGGGGACGTAGACGAGATCCTCGTCTCGAGCTAAGTGGGGATGAGAAGAGTCCTGGACGCTTTTATTTGTTTCGTGCAGTGGATCCCAGCAAGATAGACGAAGGGTGGCGTGAGACGCCCGAGAAGCTGCCTAAAATCTTTGCCGACTCTATTCGTGGCCAGGAGCAAGAATGGGTAAAAAAAATTCATGCGCCACCGTTCTGGACAAGAACCCCTCGCATTTACTACAAAATTGCAAATATTCAGGAAGAGGAAGGGCTCTTCTTGACAAGAAGAGAAAGAGTGAAGCTCTTGCACGAGATGGAGATGGAGAAATGCATTAACAATCTTGATAAGGATCGAGAAGATCAAGAAGCTCCTGAAGAATCAAAGTCCTCAGCTGCACTTGAGTCTTTGGTGGAAAGAATATTACGTCTTGGACAAAAAATCCAAATCCATCTTGTTCACAAGCAAGAATTGTCAATTATACATAAATATGTCGATCATCTTCTCTATCTTCACAGGCAGAGGCATCTACTTCGACTTCGTTCCGTTTTTTTTTTAAAGGGAATGATCCAGGTTGGCTAACAACGTCCATTACTACATACATTAGATAAAGGGAGTGAAAAGGAACCTCTAAGAATAACTGGACGGCGAATACGAGGAAACCACGAGGACTACTTGCATCCGGACAGAAAGTGCTACATTCGCATTTGGGGTGATGATGGATGCGCATGGACTTCTCAGTTTGGATGCCGAGGCAATCAGGCACCACGAGATCCCACTCACCGGAAGAGAGGGGGCAGAAGAACATCCAGGACTTCAGAAGACGAAGGCATTGAAGATTGGACTTCACCACGAGGACGGAACACAAATATATTTAGAAGACGTGATCACCCGAGGCCGAGGCCTGACACAAGTACAGTTAAGGCTTCTCCTAATGATCCTCCTAGTGATCCATCTTCAGAGAAGCCATCCTTGGAGAGTTGCATCCCTTTCAAACGGGAACTACAAACGAGGTCCTCCAGGATGACTCCTCTCAAGATGGGCGAGCAGGCAGAAGGGCGCGCTCTAAAGCTACTCCGAGCGCCACTCGCTCTCTGATTCTACAGCAGGCAGATCCGCGGGACTTCGAATCGTTCAACGAAAGACTGCAAACTGAATCTGAAACACGTCCGCCGATTCCTCGTAGTGAATATTTGCTCCTCGCACACGACTTGCGCCTAACCTATACCCTTATGGCACGTGAAGACACTGCCTTGGTCGTTTTGTCACCTAAGAGCATTGAAGAGCAGGACCGCCAAGATCAAGCAAATACTTGTGGCGACCGCGACGAAGAGGATGAAAAAAGAAGTCCATGGATTCGACTGCTGGAGGAGGAATATAGAAGCGATGAGCAGAAAGAGTACGAGTCTTTTATTAAGGCAGCGACGAACTGTTTGTCTGTGGAGGGAAACTACAAACGGGAAAGAACGCTGCATCGATCTTCATCTTGGTCCTCCCGTTTGTGGAGGGAAGTATCGATCTTCATCTTGGTCCTCCCGTTTCTTTGTTCTTGTTGTGGAGGGCAATGCAAATAAACGGGAGCCAAGACGAGGAGCCTCCTCGACAGGGAATAGATCATGATTCGTGTTAGCTCTACCTCTAATTTCACTCCGGGAAACTACAAGAACACGATGTCTTCGCCCTGGTCGAGTGTATATCGTGCGCTTTCTTGTGTTTTTGCAGGTTCACTACAAGTTATGAAAATGAAACTGTGCGGATATTACGGTAATCTATAAAGGCTATATCTTCCTCCAGTTCCAATGCAATGCTGGCGCCAATGTTGTATTTACATAAGTCTCAAGTTATTTACCAGAAGCAATGGCTGGCATTGTGGTACATTTAAGGGCTTCTGACTAACAACATTCCTCACTACCATCCCTGTTTCTTTTCTTAGTAGGAATAAAGACGCCAGGGATGTTCTGAGAAATGTAATTTCGTCACCTTTAGTATAAATATATCTCGTGACACCGACTACAGCTAGTGCACAGATCTTAGAAGTCTGATTTCACGGGATTGGCTCATCCTTCTTGGTGTTTCTAAGCTTCTTGCACTGCAGGACAACTTGGGAGTTTGTGAAGACGGTCCCTCTAGTATGCCTCCTGCCTTTTATTCGCTCTCCCGTTTTCAGTTTCACGACAAGAAGGGGTATGAAAAGAAAATCTGTTATCATTATCAAGCGTCTTTTTAAGTAGTACATTATTAGAAAAGTACTCTGTTGAAGATAATGATAACAGATTTCCTTTTCACAAGAGGATGAGCACTCGTACAACTTCTGCAGCTGTGGCTCCTGTTGCTCCTAGTGGTAATGGTAATGGCTTTGGAACGACAACGAGCGTGTCAATGGAAAGATCAAAGCCTACTGCGGGTGGGGGAGGCACGGACGTTGGAGCATTGATAAGAGCAAAGGCAGCCAGTCGTGGTGCTTTTTTCGCATTCTCAGGCGAAGATGACAAGGGAGAGGACGCTGTTGGTCGTGAAGATGACAATTCGCATACTAGTGCAGGCCATACGCATACAACTAGTAGTTATTTTATTCATCTTGCGATGACTACGTCGAGTGCGATCCAGAGAAAGTTGAGCGATGTTAACAACTTCTTA